GTGCAATGGGAGGAGCATCATTACACGCTCTGTCCACAACGCTGCCAGTCAACACAAGGTGCTCAGACTCAGCCGCCATACGAGAGAAGGACACACGTGCAAGCGCCATCAGCTACCTCTACTGCGCAGAGAAGCGCCCCGAAAACAACGAAACAATCACCACTGAAGAAAGCAAAGCCAGCGCAGGCACACTTGCTCGAGACAGCTTCTTGCGATAACAAAGAAGCAGTGGCTTGCGACGAGGAGAATAGCCAAAGAATGGTTCTCTCCGCCATGAAGAACGAAAACATTCCTAGTAAGGGAAGCAATGTTTTCCTATTAACAGGAGTAGCTCGAGTTAGAGACCAAAAGAGGGACCTCTGGAAAAACGTAGAGATATTACTAGACACAGGTGCTGACCAATCCTTCATCTGTGAAAGGCTCGCTGGAGATCTGGGACTGGTTTGTGATGCGCAGAAGAACTTCAATATGTACACCTTTGGTACAGAAACACCCAGGCAGACCACATGTGGAGTAACTATGTTAGACCTGTGGGACCAGATTGGTGTGAAACATGTTCTGCGCCTCTACACTACGCCTGTCCTGACCGCAAAAGGAAGAACCGCGCACCTAAGTAACGCGGACCTGGAATACATTGCGCGGCACAAAATCGCATTGTCTAAAAAAGGATGTGAGCAATCTTCGAAACCTCAAATTCTATTAGGATGCGATCAGCTATGGAATTTCCTTGATGTTCCTAGTCCTCGCTATACTCTACCATCCGGACTACAACTTGTTCCGTCCAAACTTGGTTATTTGCTCACAGGGCAACAAATGGACACGTCCCTGGAGAGAGACCCGACCCCAGGCATGAATTCGCAATCGTATACCTATAGTGAGGACGACCTCAATAAGGTCCGTGAGACTCTGAATTTTTCGCAAAAGAAAAAGGACTTGATCGCGAAAGAACATCCTGTGTTTAGAGGAATCCAACATACCGCGGGGTCGGGAACAACAACATCTTCTGTCACAGATATTGATTGGGACGAAGACAAATTGTGTCTCAACACATCAAGCAAAGAATTTCCGCCTGCTATCGAAGGAGAGGAATTGGACAAGTTCCAACTAACAGGCCCAATCCTCTTCATGGCTGCTACTCATTCGATTGATCTGCCAATTACTTACGCGCAGCTTGCGGACGTTATTGTGGTTCATTTTTGTAATTTTGCAGGATACTCCGCAGGAGAGTACGTTGCCGGCAAAAAGATGTTGACCGAAGAACACAGAACTCCTTATGTGACCAACTACACTAAATACACATGGCCAGGTTACAAAGAGTTTCAATCAAAGGTTCGTGGTGATTTTATGAAACGACTCAAGTCAAGAGACTACGAATGCTTTGACGACCTTTTCACAATTTATAAGACATCAAGACCTGCATCACCAATAGAAGACTCGATGAAACCAGGACCATCATCTGCACCAGATCCGAAACCGTCAGTCCGAGACGCGCATGATTCAATATTCCCGGGCTCATCACAACAAAGTTTACCATGAATTCCACTGGCCCGACTTTGGCCACATCTTTGATGTCATTTTCACATGGTACAAAACCTTATTATTAGCGATTATAGCAGTGGCAATAGCCCTACTGATATCTTATGTGTGTATAAGTTCCGTGGGATTGCGCCTTCTTGTCTGGACATTGCGTACAGTGTGGGCAATCAGCTGTTTTCCATTGCGCACGCTCTTTGTATTAGCAGGCGTCGCCAAAGATCGATGTACGCATCGACCAGCGAACGGCAAGAAGAGCGCTTAGTCATCAATAATCAATAAACAACCACGAAGTAGTCAAATTAGAGTGCGCCGCCGTATAGCGCTTAGTCATCAATAATCAATAAACAACCTCAAAGTAGTCAGAGTGCGCCGCCATAAAACTCTTAGTCATCAACAAATCAATAGACGATCAAGATGCGCCTCGCCCTAGTCATTATCTAGTTACAAAACAACGGAGAAACATCTTTTAACCCTTTCTTTCAGACAATGGAAGACTTGCGCCATGATTTCCGAAGCGTAAAGGAAGAACTGTACCGCTTCCGTCAAGAACTGGACAACAAAACACAAGAACTGAGAGAACTACACCGAGCCCTGCCGCTTCCAGATCCACAGCGCCTCTACAGCAACATCATTGACCTCTGCCACGAATTCCATTCCCGCACAACCAGAACGACGGAATTGGACAACAGGATTCGTGCGCTGCGCCAGTCTAAGGATAGCTATGAGAACCGACTGCATGAATCTGCGTTACTGGAGCTCCAAGCCGAGAAACTACGAGTTGAGATAGCCTTTATTCGATCGCAACTCCGCACCTTCTTCACCGTTCCTTCACTTTTATGCGCCACAAGAGTCATTAAGATGGATGTCTGGCGCGCATGGATGGACCGTCCTCAGCGTAACGAAGCAGGATATGCGCTTTTAGTACAGCCGGAGGACATCGAAAGAGTGGCTGCGGATCAATTACAGCAGTTGGATCGGTATCGCCAAATGATCATCGAAATTCGGGCGTCAATCACGGACGAACAGCGCGAAGATAGTGTGAATTTTCAGTCGGAGATGCGAGCAGCTGTAGCGCAGCTTCAGTCCTCGTTGGATTCAGCTTTAGCCGCCATAGAGCAGCGCCAACGTGCGACCCCCGCACCCGAGGAAAAGAACATCCCGATGGAAGAAAGAGATGAAGAGTCAATTCGTCAGGATCAACATTCACGCCACCCTTCTCCTGCGCCCGAGGATGAAGCAATGCAAGAACAAGAGCAAGAGGCAATCCAAGAAAACGCTGAATTCCTCGAAGAGGTCAGACCAGAAGAAGCAGCATCTGTAGAAGAAAGAGAGGAGGACCGGGAAGGCGCTCAAGCACGCATAAGACGACAATACGCTCAGATGCGCCGACGGATAGTACAGAAGATTCAGGAGCTTGAATAGTCTCGCGCCAATCTCCGACAAATCATTAAAGATTTGCGCAGACAGCCTACTTGCCCACCAAGAAGATACGGATATGGAGCGCTAAGATCGGACACTGAACAACTCATGACGTGCGCCTTTTGCAGGGCAGTCGGTAGGCACTATTCGGACTCCTGTGACGAAGTCGTCGAGGTTTCTGTACGCCGCCAAATGATCGACGAAAGAGAGGCATGCGAGGAATGTCTCGAGCACTGCAGAAGAGGAAAACGTTGCCCCAAATACTATGTGCGATGCTACCATTGTGGCAAATACGACCATCATTCTGCGCTATGTGGACTACCTGATGAAAGTGAAGTTACAACGACAAGGCTGGCAAGGGCGCGCCACAGTCTAGCAGAAGCGACGGAGCGCATCGGGCAGTTACAAGAAGATCTACGCCACTACCAAGACTAATACTCCGGGGCCGGGAGTATCGCGGTTAGACCGCGATCCTTGCAATCCATCGTTCCCATGGCTTCAAGTTCCATCGTTCCCAGAGCTTCAACATTCTCATCTGATTAGAGATTTGTTTTGCCGGGAATGTTCTGTATTCAACGCTTATCAGCTAGATCTTGTGAGGCAAATGCCAGCGACCGATAAGTACGCTGGCATGCGCCGAGACCTTAGTTCTTCTTCGTAGATGCTTGCGCCCGATGTATTTTGCGCCTCATCATATATCCCTTTGTAGCTTCATATATTCCTTTATAGCTTCATTGTATGACACATTGCGCTATATCCTATATTTCTTTATAGCTTCGTTGTATTATACCTTGCGCCTTATTCTATATTCCTTTGTAGCCTCTTTGTACTGCACATATGCTCATTTATGGNATCGCGGTTAGACCGCGATCCTTGCAATCCATCGTTCCCATGGCTTCAAGTTCCATCGTTCCCAGAGCTTCAACATTCTCATCTGATTAGAGATTTGTTTTGCCGGGAATGTTCTGTATTCAACGCTTATCAGCTAGATCTTGTGAGGCAAATGCCAGCGACCGATAAGTACGCTGGCATGCGCCGAGACCTTAGTTCTTCTTCGTAGATGCTTGCGCCCGATGTATTTTGCGCCTCATCATATATCCCTTTGTAGCTTCATATATTCCTTTATAGCTTCATTGTATGACACATTGCGCTATATCCTATATTTCTTTATAGCTTCGTTGTATTATACCTTGCGCCTTATTCTATATTCCTTTGTAGCCTCTTTGTACTGCACATATGCTCATTTATGGTGTCTTCTCATTATAGTGCCTTCCTTTAGTTCTCGATTGGTGAGATCTCCATTTATTATTGTGGCAAGTCTTCCCTCAGATTGTGTTTAATTACCCAAGTTTGAGGTGGAAATAAAAGTTCGGTGTTGCGCCGTGGTTGGTTGCACAGTGGCACAAGTTGAACCACCGAAGTTATTTTAATACATACAATTTATAATTGCAATTATGAGCGTTGTGGCTTAAGTGGACCAGGGAAGTGGGATCAGCAGTACACATTATAAGTAATTCGAATCTTGTCTAAATCAAGTGAGCCTTCTATATCTAAGAAGTAGCTTAACCTGTTCCTGATTAATATAATAATGTATAAGTGTGAAATCTTAAGAATGATTATGATAAGTCAGGACAAAATACCTCTAGCCGCGGCATTTGCTAGAAAGCAGGCAAGAAAAGTTAGGATGAGAAACATTTTGCACATGACTAAGCTTTGGTTCCGGCTCCTCTATTTATAGATGATAGCGTGTGTGGTGGCTTCACATGGTTGTACAGACAGATTGGTATGTTGTCGTAGCCGAACGATAAAAAATTCGTTGCAATCGTATTTGCTGTGTCTGTTCCTGAAAAACACTCTCGGCCCACGTATCCTGCAACAGCAGAAAGTTTGTTGTTCATAACAAGCATGAAACGTTCCTCAGTTGTAACAACGCTTGTTGAGCCCTCCTTGCTTTCTATGGCGGCATCTGATGGTTAAGACGGAAAGCATGTGGATGGGCAACAGGTTGCCGGTCTTCTGGTAAGCAGTTATTTCTCCAAGAGAAGCCTTGTCCTAACCCCTTAGAAGCGAATTTTTACAATTAGTGAAGGACGTAGAAATTCAGAGGTGTAATGTACCGGGCTTACTATGGGTGCAACTCAATGCGTAAAGGAATAACTCAACCGCGGCCTCAGGCGAATGATTACGGGAGACTCAAGCAAAGGATGCTATCATTCCACCAGTTTCTCGGCAACTACATAACCACAGTTTCAAACGTGAAGCGGCAAGTCGGTCAATATAAAATCCCGTATGGATGAAAATAACCAGAACTCACCCTCCCACCACCTCCTTAAGGTAGGCCATGAGGGGTAAGATGAAGGATGGATGTTTAGTTGATCTGGGGGAGTATCGGTTTCAGTTGAAACTAATCCAAGCAAAATTTGAAGCTAACCCTTTCTCCCAAAATCTCCAATCTCACTTACGATGGGAGTAGAAAATCACTGAAGTAGGAGACTGCCGTTTTTTGGAAATTTTGACAAGGTAGAGGGCTTTCTGAAGCTACTGACTTGCATCGTCATGAACATTGATTCTCATAATGGGTCTTTGATATACGAACCGTCGGTGGGGAAGTAAACGCGCACCTGTTCAGGTAATTCACACACATTGAGTAGACTCTGCATCGCTAGCTACGAATAAACAGAAGCTTAACCGTCGAAGATTTTGACCCTTTAAAAGTCATATTTGACCTTAAGGGAATGCTGCACAGTAGAGTGAGTGCATTGGGAATCACCCATGCTTCGAAGCGATCGGACTATTTTCAATAGATTGTTGTGTATACTCTTGCTGCTCAAATGTGAAACAGGTATTTTCTCAACATCGCTTCTATCATCCCTGAAGTGCAGGTAGGATAATTAAGGGCAGCTCGTTACCATCTGGGATTGTATTATTGTCTCTTTAAATTCCATGATTTTTCTGTTACTTCTTGTTCTGCAGTTGAACAACTCTTCTTTCAATTCTTCCTTATAGATCCTTTGAAGCTTCACTATTCTTGCCTTTGATGTTATCGTTAAACTAGGAAATGGGACAACCCTTCGCTTTCGCTAGTCAGCCATATGACAGATGAGTTACTACGTCCACAATGTTCGGAGAGAGACTATCCAACCGGTTATCTGATGGATATCATCACTTTGTTCTTGTATGCCCATCTGTTACTCATGCTGCAGCTATTCTCTTTCACACAGTTCAATTCCGGTGTTCAGCTTGTGTATGTGAACTATGTACTTGAAATTCCAGATAACATGAAGGATAGGACCATTTACATTGGCGCACTTGGAGCTTCCGTTTTGGCATGTGCGGTTGGTTCAACTGGCCTTCATTTCCAAATACTTGTTGAGCCAAGAATAGAGACCTACGAGAAGAATGAACATTTATAGGCAGCTTATCGTTGGTGGAAATATCTTCGCTCTTCAGAAATGGTGCCAGTTGGCATTATCAGGGAGCTTTACGTATATCCTGTGAAATCATGCAAAGGAATCAGTGTCAGCCGTCTGCATGCACTCTTTGAGAGGATGAAAACCACCTAATCCTTCATTTTATAGGTTCTCTCATTTTACTGCGATACTGAGGGAGCGGTGTCTGGGGAAAATCGTGATCGCCAATTCGTCGTCATTGATGGGAAGAGTGGCAGGTCCGGAGAGCACCAGTTTGTTTCAAAGTCATTGAAACATAGGACTGAGGGCGGGATGTTTCTTTTCCAGATTCTACAACAGTTCTGTAAAGCCGCTGATGGTCACAATTGAATGTGAAGTTCATGATGGCGTTCTCAATGTGAAGACAAGTGACGGAAGCACTTTAAGAGTGGACATTGATAAAGTTCGTCAGGAGAAGGTCATCAGAAGAGCAACGTGAGTCGTTCCCGTACAAACGTAAGCCAAATTAAGCGCAAAGCGGCTGTAATGTTGAAAATCTTCATAATACCTTTAACAAGGCTGGCGATATTGCTAAATTTATTCTTACTGGAGTGCCTGTAGCAAATAAGTTTATTTGAACGCACCTGACTAAATAGTAATCATGAATTTTTTGTTTATATCCATTTCCCCAAGGAATTATCATCGTTCCATCGTTTCCGTTAATTTTGTGTCGAACTTTTCATTGTTAATCTTTCCCTTAGCCGTTTGATCTGTGGTACTAAGTGCATTTCAGCTTCCAATCAAACTTACTTGCTGACGGTCTCGACTGTGGCGATGAAGCCGCTGAATTCTTCTCTAAAGCACTGGATGAACAAGGTATCATGCTGCCCTTATGTCATTGCTTTTATGGCTATCAGGCACAGTCCATCAATCAGCAGCGAATGAAATTATTCTATTCTGCGTTTTAAACTGATTCTTCAGATGCACGGCTTTTAATGTACTCTCCTGATCTCTACAGCGAAAGGATTTGTATAACACAAGAAGACTGGTGGAACAACAATACAGTGCCAAAGAGGAAGGAGAAGGTGCTACCAAGAAATTCCTTGGAATAGTTCTAGCTTTTAAACCATGGGAAAAATCCTAATCTGTCTCGCAAATTCGATGTTGCCTAAGAAGCATGCGCGATATTTGGAACTGTGAAGTGGAAGCTACTTGAACGTCTAGTAGGGTGGTATTCGTTCGACTCACACATAATTTCTGGGCCGTGGAAAGCAGGAAGTTCCACCACCTGTCTGATAACCTGTCGGCAACTAATTCAATCCACGAAAGTCATGCAATGCGCTTGCTACCGGAGGAGACGTCCATTTCGTAATGAGCCCTTTGCACCCTTATTTCAAAAATTAACTTCCTAAAATTGTTAGAAATTGAGCCGTTGTGGAAAATCTACCATATTGCGGTAGATGGCACCCTCCCACAGAATCGTCGAGTAGGTACTGAAACCAATTAAAAAGTGCGCCTTTCTCATTAAGAAGATTTACTGGATGTGGTGCACTTGTTTCGGTCCTAAAAAATTTGTAATGTCTTAGATGTAAGTTGACATCTTAGGTGTTAAAACTGACTAAATAGACATGACAAGACCCTCAAGTAATCCCCAAACGAATACGGCAAACCGACAGAAATGACCCAGTTCCATGAATTAGGAAGACTTTGGAACTTAGCGCTTGGGTCCAACACATGTTGAACCAACAATACCTTCGCCCACGATCTGGCATCCCCATATTTTTTTCACAGGCGCACTCCACAAAAAACAGATTTTTCCTTAGAGCTTTTGTCTCGTCAATGTCCGAGCTCAGCTCTACAGTCTTCTCGTCTAAGGGCACACACTTGCTATGAAAAAAGTCTTGCACAGTATGGTAGAAACAGCTCGAAAATTTTCGCGTGTGGACCTCGTGCTTGCAAGACCCCCCTCCCCCCTCCGGTCTCGTTGAAAATTCCTCAAAAAGGTTTCTGTAAGAACGTCAATTGGCCAAATGTCGAGCAACTCACAGAAACCAGTCTATGAAAGATCTCAGAGAAGATTTGATTCTTGGGATTATGAATGTGCTTAGGAGTACTTACCAGAAATGTGTAACAACTCCTGAAAAGCTTTTCTGAGTCACATTCTCGTTTTGTAAGAAAGCTATTGAAAAAATGATGTAACATTCAGATTGATGAATTTATGCTACGTGTAACAAAATAACAAAATCACCAAGTATATTCAAACTAAATCAGTTAACCTCAGGCATAAGTTTATTTTAAACCTGTAATTAGCATAATCAAAAATAATTAATCGATATTTTCTGCATAGCTTGTTTACCTCACCGCGGGCACCAGGGGACCCGTGTACTTCTCCGTTGAGCTAGCCGAGTGAATAACCTTAGCTCCCAACCTCTCGCTCATCGTTCTAATGCTAGTACAGAGGCAATTTTCAAGTTGAAGAGGGATCGATAATTTAAAAAAAAATATCGGAAGTGGGGTAATATTTTTAGTACATTTGTAAAATAGAATCTGAAAACTCTAGAAACTAGAGAGCACATAAAAATCGTGATGTCGAGCAAATCTATCTGTGTGAAGTAGTTAAGGCATATGGTAAGGTAGGGAACACAAAAAATTGGGAAAGCAGACCCGAGCATTGCTCATTTAACGAAATAGATACCAAATTTGAGATCTAGAGTTGTAAGATTTGTTATCTCGGCATATGCAGACCGTTTAAGAAGGCTCCATATCTGAGTTTTCGTATATGCTCCTACTCAAACAACTTTTTCCCAAACCTTTTGCCTAGCGTAACACCGAGACCTAGCTATGCAGTCCTGTCCAGTGACAGTACGAGCATCTGCTTCCTCAGCATACTTGAAAGATGTGGCTCACTCATTTCGCGAATCTAGTGAGGGCGGTGGTGGTGGTGATGTTATAGCACTGTCCATTGTAGTAATTTACACCATAGCTATACATACAGACATCTAGATTCTACATACGGTTTGAAAAGAATAAAAGATATGTCCAGAGGCCGGCTTGTGGTCTGCTATTCCGACCCTATTAGACCTTGAATGATATCGCAAGTTTAAGGGATTTTTTTCTGTGACTTATTGAATGAGTTTTATCAAAGCCTTGCAATGCCTCTGTACTTATGATGATTCCGAGAAGCTTGCTTTCAGAGTGCTTTTGAGAACACGTCACCATTGATGATAACGACACAGGGATCTCTAGACGACCTGAATTCGAAATTGGAGAAAAAGGTGAGTGCTAAAGACTCAGAAGAGGTGTCATAGTGACGTGATATCCACGATTACGTGTCTCCTTCCCACCAAAAAAATTACCAGTCGTCTTTTGGAAAACACTGCAGCCCCTCTGGCCAGCAACGCCGTTTGCTTATAAGTGATTAGTTTACAAGTTACAGGTAGACACACTTCAATTTCGGCCTGTTATGGTGATAGATGAATGCCCAGCATGGGATGAAGATAAATGGTTGGATTTACAAATAGGCGATGTCCGTTTGCAGTGCTTCAGACCATGTTTCAGGTGAATCTTTGCTTATACTTCTATTTTTCTGGAATTATACACGATATATCTTCAGATGCCTTGCAATCACTGTCGATCCAGAGACTGGTGTGAAAGATAGCAATGTGCAGCCATTGAAAAAATTGCGAGAGTGGGTTTAGTCCAGAAAGCAGTGGCCTTTTTAATCACTTCAGGTAAACAGTTCACCGTGCTTTTTGCAGGTTTCGTTTAGCTCCAGAAGGCAAGATGCGCAAGTGTTTTAAAGATTCACCATTATTTGGGGTGAATGTTGGTGTCGATCGACCGGTCGGTTTGATATTTGATTACAAGTTCGTGATTATTTGAACGATTTGCTTACAGGGATATGTTTGTGTGGGACAAATCGTTTACGCTCGATATAAAAAGTCCGCCTTCTGATGCGTGACCTGCTGTCATCGAGTCTGGAGCATGCGATTTTGTCCAAAATTTGAAGATGGGCTCTATCATTCGCAGTGTCAATAAATATTCTTGGCATATGAAGCGTAATCTGGAACGCGGCAATCAAATCATTACTTATCCCTCACTGTACTGGATTTCGATCTTCGTCGGTAGAAAAAACAACAAATACTCTGAAGAATGCTCAACCACGTCATTTGTCTCCATACATGTGGAGAGCGATTTTCTGAAGCATAAGCATGTGCTGTTAAAGCAGAGGTTAGTAACTGGAAACAACAGATTCATCTTTCAAGTGCTGCTGGTTGACCGAGGAAGGAGAGCCAATACCATAGAAAGCAAAGGTGCGAAATATGTTTTCCCGACCACCCTTACCCTCAACATCTGCTCATTCAAACAACACTCTAAAAGTACCATAATTCAGGAACATAATTCGAAAGTAGATCAGCTCTACAGTTCCCAGTACAAGCCAATTACGAATCAATGAAACCAAGAGTGTAGACTCTCCTTTATTACTGCAGTATCACCTATCACCTGACCTGTCGTCCCGCTGAACATGAATTTCCTCGAGCGAGCGCCAGTAACGTCTCCATTCACCCCTGTCACGAGCCAGTGGATCGTCTTCCCTTCAGGGACACGAGTCTCAGCATTCCTTTCAGAGCCTTTGTGAAGAAGTCCGACCATCGCGTTAGCGGCCGTCCTGATGTTCGCTTGAACTCCCAAGCGATCCAGTCAGTAACCGCCCTGGTCCAACGGTCACCACTATGCCGCATAGCGTGTCCGGCCCACCTGACCTTCGTTCGATGACGGAGCTCGGAGCTCCGGATCCCCTTCTGCACTTGCGTGTGCAGAGTAATTTCATGCATCGTCCTTTTCAAAGCGCGTTGAGTAGAGAGAGTCTAAGTCTCCGACGCGTATGTCAAAGCAGGAAGGACAGCAGTGTCAAAAAGGTAAGCGCGGAGCCCGATGTGCTTTGTCTTCCTCACGACTCCCTCGATGATTTTGAATGCTCCCCAGGGCGCGTTCCCTTCTGCTCAGTTTCAGAGCTAGGTCGTTCAACGTAGCTAGAGTATATAGAGATATTCGTTCGCATAGCGTAAAAAGAGCGTCAAGAACCAATCCGGCCTTCGTTAGGTTCAGTCTCAAGCCGATCTACCCTTATTCACTGTCCAACTCGGCCAGCATTCGCTCCGCTTGTTTGATGCCTTGTGTTTTAAGCACAATGTCGTCTGAAAAGCTGAGGTGATGTAGGTAGCCGCCGTCGACCTTCACTTCCGAGTCTTCCCATTCCAAATCACGCATGATATTTTCGTGAGCAGCACTGAAAAGTTTGGGCGAAATGGTATGGACACCTCTCTTCACGTTGATAATGACTTTCTTGTAAAATGGTGAAATCCTGGTGGTGAGATTGTTGTAGAGCTCACGAAGCATCCTTATGTGTTGAGCTCTTGTTACCTAGGGTTTCAAATACCGCTTCTGTCTCGACAGTATCAAAGGATTTATTTGAATAGATGAACAGACAGACATAACGGCATATTGGACTCCCGAAATGAGTCAATGAGTCTTGTACGAGTGTGGATATGACCGATTGTACTGAACCCTCTCCAACACCCTGCTTCCTTCATCGCCATCTCGGTCCCTCTCCTTTTGTGGGCCGCCTGTTTTGACTCTTAAATTTTAGCTGCCTCTTCTGAACGGTCCAACCAACGCTGCCGTATCGTGGGTTCCCTTAGTCTTAGGAGGATGAGGTTGATTTACACCTGCTTTTGGCAAATGTGAACCCAATGAGTAGCTTGCCAGGCTCTAGCGTGGGGGCTGGATTGACTATGGCTGCTAGCTAGGCTGTTTTGAAATGAACGTGGAGCTTTGTTTTTGGAGGCGGCCCCGAATCGTGTCCCAGATACTTCACAGTCTCTCGAATGCGAGCTTTTAGCTGAGTGATGTGCACGATACCAACTGCACCCACGAACTCTCCACACGCGTATGTATGGATGCACCTGCGAGAAACAGAGAGTATATCGGCCAGCACAACAGAAACAGGGAGTCTATCCCTGAATCCGCCTGTCTCTCAGGGCGAGAACTGGCGACTTTTGGCGACTATCCGTCACACGAGAACGTCCTACGTAGCCTCGTTGCTGACCGGCTGGGATCCGTTGGCGAGAGAGAACCCTCTAGGAAGGAGATCCGCAGATTACTCCCGAGGAGCCTATTTGAAAGATGCTTCATGTATTTTTGTATTTGAGAATGGGCCACGCCTTTTGGGTGAAGGAGAAGAATAACAAAGATATAATTACGACTCCTTTGGCGCATTTAAAAATCTTAAAATCTTCGCGACGACTTTGATTGCCAATTAGGTGAGTGTGCAAGAAAACTTTACCTAGTACTAACTTTCCTACTTCAAAGCAATCACCTTTAGAATGTAAGTATTGAGTGCTTCTCCACGAATACTAAAGGCAATGAAATTCTCGCCTTTATTTCAAAGGTTTCATCTGGCTGTGGTATAGAGTAGCGCTCAAAAGACTTCGGCCAAATGCTTCTTCAGTTGCACTTTTCAGTCGTAACTCCTTTCCTAATTGATGTAATCATGCGAAATTTCGATATGTGTAGCGTGGGTGTATTGTGAATGTTTACCACTACTAACNTGCATTCTGATCATGTTCCAGATATCCCAAAGGGCTTGGACCTGCCTTCTAGCACTTCTTTCCTTTCTGCAATGTCCAAAATGTACTAATGCCCAAAACAGTAAAGGAGAAAAACGCGCATATACTGCGAAAAACTGCAGACGTCAATAAGTTTGCTTTCAGCGAAATCTGCTACCGCAACGAAGGTGTATGAAAATGTGAGGAAGGGAAAAATGAAAAGAGATTCCATGTGCATACAATTTACAACTTAGGGATCCTGATATTCAAGATTTCGGCCATCATCAGGGAAATTATATAATATCGAAACGCTAAACCACTGGTCGGGATATTTCACCGTAAATTTCCGAGGTACCAGTGCAATTTGTTTGACGAATTCGGTCAATGAATGACGTTAATGGATCTTTTTATTTGTGGTTTTAATAGTGATCCTTCGACCAGAACCAGAGCAAAGCAATTGGACCATTCAGTTCATTCCTTCGACACCACTTCTGTCAGCCCTTAGGATAGGGGTAAGAGAAATGGTAGCAGCCTGCTATTATCTATGTTTGAATTATTCCTTCTTTGCTTTCCACGATTTTGCTGCCGCCTTAAGTAATACGCTCCGATAGACTTCCCTTTGGAATCTTTCCAAAGAGCTTCATTATATCTTTGCGGTTATCGGTTAACTGAAAAACGGGACGACCCTTCGTATTCACTTGAGATGACAAATTAGTTACCACGTTCACAACGTTCACAGAAAGACTAACCAACCGGTTATCTGTTTGATAGCATCACATTGTTCTTGTATGGCCATCACTTGCTCGTACTGCAGATGATTATATTCTTTTACACAAAGTTGATTCGAATGTTCAGCTTGTGGTGTACTTGAAGTTTCAGATAATTATGAAGGATAAGACCACTTTTATCGGCACACTTGGGGCTTCCGTTTTAGCATGCGCGGTTAGTTCAACGTGACCTTTATTTTCAAATATTCCTTGATCTAAGGATAGCAACCTATGGCAGGGTTTCGTGTTTCCAGGCAGCTTATCGTTTGTGGAAATATATTCGCTCAACTTCTTCAGAAATGGTTCCAGTTGGCATTATTAAGGATCTCTACGTATACCCAGTGAAGTCATGCAAAGGAATCAGCGTCAGTCGTTCGAGAGCATTCCTTGAGAAGTTGAAAACTGCCTAATCCTTCTTTATATAGGTTTTCTCGTTTTTCTGTGATAAAGAGGGAGCGGTGTCTGGAGAAAATCGTGATCGCCAGTTCGTCGTCATTGACGGGAAGAGTGGCAGGTGCTGGGAGTTTCACTTTGTTTCACAATCGTTGAAACATAATTGAGTGTAGGATGTTTTTTTTCCAGATTCTACAACAGTTCCGTAAAACCGATGATGGTCACAATTGAATGTGAAGTTCATGATGGCATTCTTAATGTGAAGACAAGTGACGGAAGCACTCTTTCTTAATGTGAAGACAAGTGACGGAAGCACTCTAAGAGTGGATATTGAAAAAGTACGTCAGTCTCAAAGTGAAGACAAGTGACGGAAGCACTCTAAGAGTGGATATTGAAAAAGTACGTCAGGAGAAGGTTATTAGAAGGGCAACGTGAGTCACTGGCATCATTTCCGTTTTAATGAACGTTAAATAAAGTTAGTGCAAAGTGGAGGTGTTGATGGCACGAAAGTCCCGGGACCCAAAAAGGGCATAGTCTACACTGGCTGGCATTCGCAAGTCATTCCGTAGGACGATTGAGGTTATAGGAGCTGTTGTGAAGATGGTTCACTGAGAAGCGAATGGGTGGATCAAGTTAATAGACCTCACCGATGAACATGTTTACTTCCTCCCGGATCAATTCCCGCGACCCACTACAAAAGCTCCTTTTCCATTTTCTGTTACCTTGTAAGCTTGCCTCAGATGTTAACGACAAATCAAGCTTTCGGAATGAATTATTGGAGAAAAATCACTGTTCCCATAAACCTTATCAGTTTTCGGAATTTTTATGACACTCCCTGCGTGGCTTCGTGCATTTCACGTGCGGACTACTACTCTTGCTATTTTCCCAAAGGTACATCTCTGCAAAATTTCATTGAATACTCATTGAACACATGGATGTATGCGGTAAATGCTTTGTTTCACTCAGTCATAGAGCCCAGCCTCTATGTGACTCAGGAATTGAGGAAATCCTAGAGGGTAGAACACTCAGTAGTTACAAGTGGATTCTGAACGTACCGTGAGCAGCGACATCTCTAGCACCCAACCATTTCCTTCCTGAGTTGACACGGTCCTATCACCTCGAGATGTTTATGGATTAACCCAGAATGAGGGGTGAGGTTGTTTTTTTTTTCATAGGTAAAGTGCAGCAAATAGGAATCAGTAGAACTTATGGAACCATAAGAAAAACTTCAAAAAATACGAATATTCAAAATGAATTAAAAGACGGCTCATTCCGAACTTCACCTCTCTCCGATAGAACCGCTGCCCCAACATTCCTTAAGACTGTGTTTGGGTTAGTGGCCAGAGAAACGGGGGAAGCGCATCGTTCAGTGTATTGAAATTATTTTTATCAGAATATTTTTAGCAAATAAGTCCCCGTCTATGTACATGACTACATCAGTATTTACGGATTCCCCTTTATATTCATCAGTGTTTATGAATTCTTCTTCATATTCATATCTGAAGAGAATGTCCATCATTCCCGTATCTGTTTTACACGTTCCAATGTTAAACGTTTCCTTAGCCTTATGATCTTTGGTACCATTTCAGCTTCCAATCCAACTTACTTGCTGATGGCCTCGACTGTGGCGATGAAGCCGCTCAATTCTTCTCCAAAGCACTGGGAGAACAAGGTTGTCAACCGTTGCCTCCATTTATCATGCTGCTTCTGTATGCTATTAGGCACAATCCAACGGCAAATGAACTTATTTTATTTTGTTTTTTGAAGTAATTTTTTTAGATGCACGACTTTTAATGTACTCTCCTGACCTCTACAATG